CATTAAAATGTATGAGTATATGATTCCGTTTCACGATTGTACGAAAAATATTTTGAAATACAGGAAATATCGATTGGTATAACTTCTGAGAGTATCGCCTGCTCTTTCTGAAATTGATACAGAAACGATTTTACCCGAAAATTTAAAATCGTCCAGACACTTATGGACGATAGCGTAGATGCTATTAGCCTTGGGTATCCACCGGTATAAAATTGACTTTTTATCGCTACGAGGTGGAGAACGAGCGGAATGAAGAAAAAAAAAAGGGGCGCCACGAGAGAGAGAAAGCGGAGGGGAGTAGGGTATCGTCTGAAAATTAGTCAGCGACGTTTTCGAAGATTCCTGAGACGTCACCCCATGAACCCTGTCCTTCTTCTCTGTTTTTAACACCGGGAACCGAAATACCATTCTATCCATGGATGCATCGATACCCAACGCCTTTCACATTCTTGCCGTACGCGTGACTAAGTTCTAACTCGTTTCTCTTCGTACGATATTGGCTCGTCTGGCGAGTTCCGAGGCTCTTAACAACTGCCAAATTGATCCTAAAACTTATGGCCGAACAATATAGCCCGAATTCGTTATATTAATTTTTATTACTCCTAATAGACACGCGAATACAATCGTAAAAATACTGGGACAAAGTGACTCGAACCGAAATCATTTACAATCTTGTCGAAGAACTTATCCCCGAGGACATTTACCGTGTATCCACTTGCAATTTCCTCGTCGATTTCATTTTTCATTCGCCCATTCATGGATGTTCCCGCAGCGAGGAAGACCGTGAGCTCTGTCATGCGGATCGGTTTTCTGGCCGTGTACCACGGATGCTAACGATCACGGGAACCGATTGTTCGCGCTTTTTCTGACGACGATTATCCTCTCGACTCCGGTGTGTACATTAAAGCCGTATTACCGGGCATCGATCGGTTACGAGATCACCATCTTCGAGGCAAATTGCCTCGTACGTGAGGTAGATGCAACGGGGTTACATGATTTAAAGGGTGTAGGTACTGGTAAAATTATACGTCTATTAGCAATACTTTTTCGTCGTACACCAGGCTGATAGATAAGTGATCCTGTTAACCGCAGGAATATAAACAGCTTCCGATTATTCATACATCATTACTTTCGTAAAACATTTATTGTATCGGGTTACGTCGCATCACTATAAAATATTAATACCGACAGTCGCTATTTCGTGAAACGCTGAAACAGCAATTTTTCTTTTAAATCGAATACACTTTTTGACAATACGATATACACATACTTGTTTATTTACGCGTATTAATTACAGACTCCATCACGGCGCACTCGTTACAAGGAACGTCGCTTAAGATGGGCTTAGAGTATTTTATAAAGTATTCCGTCGAAGTGTATCCGAGGGCATGTCTAAAAGGGAGTAAAACATACAAGATTTTCTGCTTTACGTCGCGAAATTGCTCTTACGCGCGTTCTCCACCGGAGTACTCCACCGTTAAGTTTACCCCGGCAGTGCACTCCACGGTTTAGGGTCTCAAAACGTATATTTTAGAGAACTCTAGTGGGTGAACGCACTAAACTCGCGACGGCACGAATACTCCGCGGCCTCGAGGAAAAAAAGATATCGTCTCACATTTTATTCCCAATCGATTCCACGGTGAATAACCGCAAATTAGAATTACAAAAAATGAAATAAGTACATACGAACATTGTATACCTCGCGGTCTTGATAAGTTTTTATAAAATAATTCTATTCTATTTGCACTTAAATTTTATAGGTCGTACCTAGTTGTAGATTGAAATTGAAACGATATGGAGCAGAAAGTTGACCCGTAATTACATGGAAACTTCACCCGTACCGTAAATGATCATAACAGGTAATAGAGCGAGCAACGTTTTACCATGGCGTGAATAAAAGGAAACGATAGGAACGATATTCTTGTTTCGACAGACTACAATTACCATTGAATTTTTCTGGTCGGAAATGAGTAAGCGGTAACACGGTTTTACTCGTGTTATCCTAGAGGAGATACGCTATTATCAGTCAGCCAATAATACTCTCGCGTGCACAGTTCCTCTGCGTATCCGCGATTTCACAAATTACGGTATCCGCCGTTAGGAATTGCGCCCCGAGTATATACGGCGTTTAATTATTATCCGGGACGGAATAAATCAGTTATTCGTAAAACAATACGTTTGTGTCACGTACAGAAAATCTCGGTGCATGCTAATCAAACGTTGTGCAATGTGCTAGAGTTTAGATCAAGCGTTTGTCAACACCACGTGTTTTCTGATGATCGATAGATCACTCGGTAAATTGCACTTACTATCAACTTGGATACCTCAAGCTATTGTACATATTGTACAATAAATTGTACGGTTACGATTGTTACGTATTTTTCTCGTACATCAATGTTGATTATGATATTGACACAGTACAACAAAGAACACTTTTTTTGTAAAATTTCGGAAAATTCTTCAAAGAAAAGTTGTCGGAATTGACCTCTACAAGAAAGATTCTATGCATTTTTCTTCTAACTCCAATATTTAATGAACGAAGTACGATCAATCGGCACTTTATTGGTACTGACAAAATTTGGCGTCCCTCCGTGAAAACTGCACACTTTTGATAAAAAAATTCGCTTTTCCTCAAATACTCTTAAATTGTTGGATCAACGAGAAAATTGCATACGATCTTATTTATAAATGACAACTAGAGTTCAACAGTTATTGTCAATAAAGGAAATTTTCTGGTATTTGGTGTGCATGCGTGAAGTTGGAAGAAACAACTGACTNCTTCCGACGTCTGATTTCTTTTTAATTATAGGAAATACGTTTTTCTGAGGTACATAAACTTTTGGGATTGACTGTATAGCCAATACATCCTTATCGAATGGAGTTAGAAGGAAATTATGCGACAACTGATAGTACGATACGTGATTTACATTTACTACTTCGAATTACTTAATGCAAGCTTGTACTACTGAAAATTATTATGCACAATCGTCTTTGTCTGAATTAAATCGTTACTGTTTCGCATCCGGATGGTATAAATCGACTGTAATACTACAACCAAATCCCCCAATGATTCACAAGCGACATTAATTCAGCCGTGCACTCGCTACCTAATCGCCTGTGCTTGATATCTGCCCAAGAGGCTGCGTACTTTTATTATACGGGCAGGTTGAAGTATTTACTCGGCTCTCAGAAGTGAAGATGAAATATTGAGCAACAGTTGCGAGACTTAGCAAATTGTACATGGACACTGGCACGTACTCCGAGCGTATAAATAATAGCTATAATAGTGCAAATGCTCTGATAATAAAAATTCAACAGTATATAATGTACATGTATATTTGATTCGCGGTTGCGTAAAAAGTTATGTAACATATTTTCTTGAAAATAAAGATTGATTTCCGTGAAGACGAAGAGATCGTCACGCGTGATTATTTCGGTGACCGTATCCTTGTTTCGCGTGATTCATGCATAACCAGAATACCGGAAGAGGAGAATGTATACTTGTGACCGCGAGAAATATGATCAAGTCCAGTTTCTCAAGCTGTCTTCCGTAGAAACTTAGTTTCGCGAAACGGTTCTCGGTTTATTGCTCGCGCATACGTTTGATTTAAAGTTTCTACACCAGAATTATTATCCTCAAAGTGTGCTCCTTAGATAGCAGCGAGAGATTATTTGTAAAATCAATTTACTGCAACGGAATCTGGAATATTATTGGTTTCACTAATCGAATTGTGTGTACTTGTTTATTGGTTCGACAGCTGCAATTATAAACAAAACTAATCTTAATTAACATCTCTTGGGGACGAAATCAAGTGATTGGATTTGCTGAATTAGTTGAACCAGGACCTGACTCGAGACCTTTATTCGTCGAATGACTCGTCTAACCAATTGTACTATCCAGGCCATCGCCAATTCCTTTATTCCCTGTTTAGAAATTACCAATACGATTGCGACAACGTTCAATCTATATTTATTTTAAGTGATTTTCTGCGTAATAAACAAATTCTGTGGTTCGTTGAATAAGTAATCCATTAGGATTCAAATGATTTTCTTCTATGCCTGATCAAATTAAAAGATATCCCACTAAAATATAGTTTAGAGTATAAAAATGAATAAGACAACGTTCGGATCAAAATATAAAAATTGTACGATAATCGTAGACGTAATATCATTTTTTGCGAATCGTAAAATCGGTGAGTATCGGCTAATTGGATTTAGCGAAGCAGGACGCGGAGACCTTTCATCGTCGAACGATCGATCTGACCAATTGAACTATCCAGGCCAGGGATGAATTATTCTCCGCTAATTGTCGGTCTAACGATCGAATCGTCACCCGTCCTATATCCGTGAATTATTTAAACCGCGAACTGAACAGCTATTAACCCTTCGCGAGGCCTGTCACGAGCTCAAGTCTTCTGTGTTCTGAATGAATCGCTTAAATGACACAATCCTATACGGTAAAATTCCATTTATTGTGCAACCGACATTGTCCGATGCTCTAGCAGTTACACTTAAAAAATGATACGACAGTATAATCGTAATGATTATTAATTACGATATACTTACTATAAATCTTGCCAGTCGAATCGTTTTATTTTCTACGATGAGTCTTCTATGATCTTTGAGATATGAACTATCGTAAATCGCGGGAGATGCTGGAGGGAGCGCGTGGTAAAAATAATTGAAGATCGCTGGAAGCAGTTTGTTATGAAAACCGCAGCGATGACGATGTGCCGAAGGAGTTAAGGGCTCGGTCCGAAACTTACGAACCTCGTGCCCGAGGTCTTTGTACCGTGAAGTTTGCTTTATAAATATCACCCAGCGCACCGGACTGTCCAAAGAAACAAACCGCGCATCTTTCCCTGCCTCGGTTGCAATGAAACCGTTTTACGTTTTTGATCCATCGTTACTTACCACCCTCGTTACTGTCTTAAGCATCGTCGTACTAACAGATTGATGATAGCAAAAATTCATTTTCATGGTTCATGGTAGGACAATAATGGCATGAAATATGTATTTTATTAAAAATATTCACAACTTGTGTAAGACGAAAGTAAATGTTACCATAATTAAACATGGTATCATACAATTTGTACTGATTCTAGCAATGATTTTCTTTGTACACGTGACGAGGTAAGTCTAAATAAGATTTCTATGATAAAACACCGTACTTAACTGGTCTTCGGTCACCGCGTGACAAGCGTGATAAAAAGTGTCACGCGAATGCAAATGGATCGGTGCGTTTCCCCCGACGCACCGTTCACCGTGGCAATTATTCCGAATCGTCGTTTATTTCTTTGTAACGTTGCTGGGTCTTTCGCCACAACGCCTGCTTCTTTTCCGTCGTAGAATCTAGTTCGATTGTAGGAAATTCGCTCGCTGCGCCGAGACCGGTTTTGCTCGGATTATTCGTCATAGATACCTGCAACCAGAGAGTATACATAAATGAATAATCTACTACGCTCGAGATAAACGGCATTTTTCTTCCCACGTAAACATTTTTACATAAACGCGTTCTTACTTATTGCTATCTTTCCTGTATCCGTACATTTAATTACAGCAAATGGCTACCTTACGTAATTGCATAGTGTTATATTAATTTTTTATTGTACGGCCAGATACAAAACTGGTCCTGCGTCGGAAATATTGAATATGCATTTGCGAATTGAAAACTAGCTGTATAGAAAATATATATTCGATCGCTGTATGAATTTATAATTTTTCTCATACAGTACACGTTTCGACCAGACGTTTCATTGCTTGTAATTGCTTGGCGATTGAAACGGTTAAAAATGAAATAACGAATCGTTTGATGAAACTTGCATTCCCGCGAAAAATAGAAGAAAACCCAATGGCTTTGGAACGCCGTCATCCGTCTACTGAGATCTTGTATACCGTTCGTCGTGTCGCGCTTAATTCTCGACGTCTCCGTCGCGAGAAAGAAAAAATGAAATCGAAGGGGGTACGAGGCGAAAGAATATTCGGCGCTCTTATCGCGGCGCGGGAGGGAGAGGAGCTTACTTTAAGTTTTGACTCTCAACCACCGGGCGGAACAGCTACCCTCTCTCGGTTCGTATTTAGGCCAAGTGGGCTCCCCCGTCTGGTCTGGCTTGTAAATGAGACCCCTATCTCCTAGCCTCGTCGACACTTGACTTAGTTGGTCGAAAGGAGAAATAGACGAAAACGAAAGAATGGGAAGAGTGTAAAAAGGAAACGAGGAAGGGGTCCGAAAACACGAAAACAACGAGCCAGCTGAAAATAAATATCCATCCGCGAAAAATCGTCTCGCTGCAGACTCGTAAAATTCACATAAAATATTCGGCAAGAATTTGTTACCCAGAATTTGAGGAGAGATACGACAAGACGGACGAGGGTGTTTTTATAACCACGTGACGATCAAATTTCGAAATATTGGATATGCAGAAAATACGAGGAAACATATAAAGACATGCATCGGAAGTACAATAATTATTTTTGAAATTTACGTCTTGGAAGTAGTATTTTGCACGAAAATCCGCAGACTACAGACAATTGATTTAGCTGTAAAAATATCGTGAGACAGTGGTTCGAAAGGCAGCGCGGGTTTCAATTCATTTTCGCGAAGAGGCTCGGCGGATCTCGAGATGCCAGGTTCCTTTGCTCACTAACTGTGGATCATCTTTTAAAAAGAACCACGCTCTGAAGTATAAGCATAGCCGGAAAATGCAACATAGGCGAACGAAAGGTTTTAACGTAGTCGAGTGTTCTTACTTTCGCTCACGTGGAATTCGCCAAGCTACAGAAACAACTCGTTAAAGAAACGGTGGTTATAAAACCAAGGAATGATGAAATATAATAATTAACACGGTTTTGATAAATTATTGGGTCGCTGCATTCATTTTTACAAGTTTCTTGTCCAGCTTTTAGCGGTACGCTTCGATTTCCCGGCGAATTTTTCCAATACTTCCACTGATTTAATTTCCAATCGATGTGCAAGCATTCAGTTTATTTACAACAATGACGTAGAATGAATATAAAGTGACCTGTCTCAGGGTACACGAACGAACGAATCGATGCATCTTATATAAGATATTATTTACCCATACTTTCTACATCGTGTAAAGAATTCGTCAAGAATATTTAATTAACGTACACGTTTCCCTGTTCACAATCACAAATTACCGTTTCCTTTATCTATCCAAAAGAATCGTATCATCTTTCAGGACTCCTATTGAGAGATTCGTGAAAAGGAGAGGACAGGGAAATATGAGAACAGGATCAGGAGATGGAGAGCGTTATCGGGCGCGTGAAATGAGCGCTCGTTACCCGATTGACGAGCCCGCGAGACAGACGTTCGGGAGCAAAACGGCTCGACTCGAGTTTCGCTTTCTCGCTCGACGATGACGGCGGCAATGATGCATCCGTCTGGCCTGGCCTGTCTAGACCACTTATATATATTATAACCGGCGCTCGCTCGTCCATCCTCTCCTCATCATCCTCATCTCGCGAAAGACGAACGCCACGACCTCTCCTCCTCCTCGTCTCTGCCTCTTCTTCGCCCCTTCTTAACCACCCCCGCCAATAAGACCCTCTATTTTACCTGATTTATGTCACGAAGATGATCAATCTTCTCGGTGGAGAAACGTTACCCCAGAATTAGTTTCCCTGTTCATCATTATGTCCTCGCGTACGTTTTTAATGGTCAACGTGACGGCCTCGTGTGCCTTTTATCGTCCTGATAATTCAGACACCATAGGTGATACGACGTTAAACTTTTCAGAGACATTTCCTCGAGTTCAATGCAATATGAAAGGATTGTTGTTTCTCCTGATAGAATTCGTGTTATAAGAGACTGTACGTGGGCCATCGACCGTTTGCGTTCTAAACTCGTCACAGCTGCTGGCGATGGACAGATGGTAGAGACGATACCGGGATTACTTATTAAAAATGGATTAAAAGCGTCTGCGACACGATCGCGACCGTTTCCTAATGTACGATGCAGACAGATATAAATCGGTTGAACCAGCCAGATAATATAACTGTAACCCCGCACGACGGTCAAGTGAACCAAACGACGTCTCGATCATTGAATTATTTCCATCAAGTCCAATCGATGACTCGAATGTCGCGACCCGAATATAGCTTGCTTATCTTGTTCTTTTAAGAAAGAAAGTTCTCGATTTATGAATGTTTATGACATTTAGCCGGGCAGGCGCGATTTCAACGAGTATAAATAATTCAGAGGATATCAACTGCGATAGGTAGATCAATAATAATGTGAAAAATTTCATTTCAGAATAATTAAGCAATGATTCTCAGACCTACTAGAATCAATTTCCGGTTGAAATGATTGTAATGTTTTAAATTCTTATTCTCGATTGACACTCGTACTACTGCATTGTTCCAATCGACTTGAATTACATGAAAAGACAATAGTGCTTCTCCTCGAAAGTGGTCGTAAAATGAATAAATGAGGCATAAAACCTCTGGGGAGGCAATGTGATAACCGATACTGAGTGCCAAGACGTAAGCAAAAAGCTGAGAAATAGGTAACGGATTTTAAGCGACTAAACGAATAAAACAAGCAATCACGAGTAACGTTACCGTAATTGCTAGTCTATCTATAGACCGATGTTACTCCATTGTTCAGTAAAAATCAGACGTTCTATTATATTGCATTATTAAAATCGTAAATAAGAATATGATAAAACTGATATGTAAAATAAATGAAGGGATGGATCGACGAATTATCACGTTTAGTACGCTGATGGGAATTTCCATCGAGAGAAAGGCGACGACTCGACCGGAATCGAAGCACAGAGGTACGGTTGCACCTTTGAACTTTGAGGCCACAGGTCGAGGGGGATGGTAGGAAATTCCGGGGCTGGAGAACGCACGCCAGACTAGACACGGCATGGAAGCGAACAGCCGGAGAGGAGAGGGGGCATCCAGATAAAACGGTGCCGGCACGTTGGTACAATAACATCGAGAATTCGCGGACCCGCCGGCGGCGGTAGGTGGTTGGGTGCCAGACGGTCTGTGCCAGTTCGAAAGTTTGTCCCGGTTTGCCCCGTCTGGCACGCCGGGAAGCGCGACGCACGTGCACCGCACCTTGACAGGTTGAATATGGGCTCCCGGTACCGCGGAGACAGCATATTGGGTTTGAAACTTTGCTCGTTTACAACGTCGCCACTATGTCTGCCACCGGCGGCGGCGGCGGCGGCGACGCTCTGTTTTACCTGTGAAAATAAACGTCGCGACGCGAGCTTTCTCTTACCCTCCGTCCTTCTCTTCACGCTTTTCCGAGCGGTACGTGCGTCGCCCTTCTTTTCCACCACGGTTCTCCGATACGCGACTCTCGAACCGATGACAACGGCAAAACTGAATGAGCAACGTGTCTTGACTACGCTGCGAATTTTCAGCTTTGGCAGAACTAATGACGTCTACATCACTGATACAAATAAAAGTCCATTGGTTCGAGTAGTGTAGTAATTATCACATTTTTATTACGTTTTACGTGGCCGAGACTTCGCTAGAATAATTTCTCGCGTAATTATTCGAGAGACGGTGGTAAAGAAGTAAGAAAACATCCGGCGGTTGGGACCTCTCGACTAGATCGAATTAAAAGCGTTGATCGCGAAGCGTGCACCGAAATAACTTAAGGCAGAGGATAAGAGCAGCTCGCGGGCCCTCGGGGAAAATGTGGGCCAATTACTTTCGGTCAACGTTTTCCCAGGCAAATACTCGAAAGCGAGTCACCAAAATGAAACGGGCAGGAAGTTCCCGTCGCGTCGCGCCGGATCCTTCAGCTGTTGGTTCTTGCGCAGCCATCGGAGCCGACGATCTCTCTTGGTCGCCGAGCCGCGGCATGTTTGCACAGAATTAATTAGTGTTTGGTCGTCTATAGACTCTGGACTTGCTAGACTAAACTAGATAAACTAAGGCGCGGGTACCCCCCGTCCCACGGTTCTCGTTGCACCTCAACTTCTTCTTCGTGTCCGTGTTTAAACGCGGATCCGCGCAAAGTGCATCGAGACGCATACTTCCGGGTTCGTCGAAGAGGTCGGCCGAGCTTTCATATTTTTCTCAAATAATCTTTCTCTGAATTTAACAGTGAAATAATATTATATGTATAATTTTCTGTTACGCGCAGAATCGGAATCTTACCAACAGAAATTCTTCGTATGCACGTTTCACTTAACACTTATGTTAATGCTCATCATGCATGTAGAAAGAAGAGGGACTATTAAATACAACAGAAGGAACGATCAGACGAGCCAAGAGATCGTCGGCCTGTCACTTGTTCGTTCGCGGAATGCATGCACGTGCATGTGCATCCATCCTAGACAAATGGGCAGGCGTAGTCTTACATGCGGCATTCAAACGTGAGCGCTTGCACATGTAGCATAGTACACATTTTGGCGGCTTTATGGGTGGCAGACA